ACTCATAATGAGAAGAACTTGTTCAACATTTTGCTTGACTCTATCACAGAAGGAGATATATCAGCACCATAATTTCCAGATAAAGTTCATAATGAGAAGAATTTATCTAAAGAGGAAGAAGAAGTTCATAATGAGAAGAACTTGTTCGACCTTAGCTTGATTCATCACCTATGGAGTTGAATGAAAGAAGAACCTCCCTTGAGGATCAACATTTTTAGAGAGTTCATAATGAGAAGAACTCATCTGAAGAGAAAGAGGAAGTTCTTAATGAGAAGAACTTGTTCAACCTTGCCTTAATTCATCACATATGAAGTTGAATCAACGACACCTCTTTTGAGGATCAGCATTTCAAGAGGAAGTTCATAATGAGAAAAACTCATCTGAAGAGGAAGAAGAATTTCATATTGAGAAGAACTTATTCAACCTTTTTCTCGATTCTATCTCAGAAGGAGATAAATCAACATCAACATTTCCAGAGAGAGTTCATAATGAGAAGAACTCATCTGAAAATGAAGAACTTATTCAACCTTTTACTCGACTCTATCGCAGAAGGAGATAAAACATTATCAACATTAGAAAAGGAGATAAAGCATCATCAACATTTCCAGAAGAAGTTCGTAATAAGAAAAACTCATCTGAAGAGAAAGAAGAAGTTCATAATTTGAAGAACTTATTCAATATTTTGTTCGACTCATCACAGAGAGAAATAGATCAACATCAACATTGTTCAACCTTTTGTCAAATCCATCACAGAATGAGGTGGATCGTCATTCCCAGTAGAAGAGTTCATAATAAGAAGAACTTATAGCTAAAAAGTTTGGACAATTCAAGCTAAAAATTGTGTTTTTTTGTCTTTGCTCCATTCCTATTCCACAGTAACGTGCAAAGAGGGGCAGCTGTAATCACCATTTTTACCTCATCTATTTAGCAACCAACGACAGCAACCCCACCACATGCATTTCCAATAGCTTCCAGTAACCAACAATAGCAACCCCTCCACGTGCATTTCCGGCAGATTCTAGAAGAACGACAACTGCCCCTCCACGTCCCCGTTCCAATATCTTCCATCACCTCCTTTGGCCGGTGATTCACCGGGTTATCCTCCTTTAACCGATCCAAAGGGTGTATGAAAAAGCCTATAAAAAGCCCCCATCAATGAAGCAAAAAGAAGGAGGCAGAGCAATAAAACAGAAAAAAATAATAAAATATATTGAAGATACCGAGCAGCTTACCTTCGTCAGAGAATCCAAATTGCCAAAAAACCATCAAAAAATCGAAGGTAAAAACTTAGATCTACGGATTTTGGGGGGGTTTAAGAACAAGGGGAAGCCGAAATCAGCTTTAGAAATGAAAGAGGATTTTTTGGGGTAATTTTGTAAAATTTCGACCACCGTCCGGTGGAGAATGACGGCTACGGTAGCTGGTTGGTCACAGGGGTCCCTCCGGCGAGGGAGCTCTAGAGAGAAGCTAGAGTTTCTCTCTCTAAGAGAGAGAAGCAAATGGAGAGAAATGATAATTTAGAGGGCCTCTATGTAATTTCCACATGGGAAAACCACACGCGTAGTCCCTCTATTTTGTAAATTTCCATATCAGTCACCGAATTAAAATTCTGAGCATTTTTTATTTTATCTTCGAAGTTTATTTTATTTCAATTTAATCCTTGACTGTTTATATATATATATATATATATATATATATTAGGATAAATATCACAATTAGTCCTTTTAATTTTATTATTATTATTTTTAATCTCGTATTAATATTTATGGTTAAATTACAATGTTAATATTCTTACTTTATGATATTTCAAATTATTTACATTAATTTTTATATTTTGCAATTTAATCCTATAGCTTTTAATTCCTTTTATTTTGACTATTTAATTGCAATTTAATTTTATTTGTATTATTATCCTTTTAATTTCAATATGTTTAAATTAGTACTTTGATTATTATTTATTTTATTTTAGTATATTTGATTAAAATAATAATATTTATTTATTTTTAAATATTAAGAAATGGGTTGTCTTGTCATTTTCTGATATTTTAAATAAATAAATATCATACTTTTATAAATTATATATATTAATTTATTCTATTTTAATGTTTTATTAATATTTATTTATTTTTTAATATTAAGAAATGACAGTCTTAAAATAACTAGATGTCCCTTTTCTGATATTTTTAAATAAATAAATATCATACCTTTATAAATTATATATATTTATTATTTTTTAGAGAAATATTTTATTTATTTTTTAATATTAAGAAAGGGACTTTCCTAAAGCAACTAGAAGTCATTTTTTGATATTTCTAAGTAAATAAATATCTTATTTATAAAAATATAAAATATATATTTATAAAAATTAATATATTTTCTTGGAATTATACTAATAAATTTGAAATCACATGATTATAAATTAAATATATTTTTGAATTCTTAAATTTCTAATAATAGAGACAATTTATAATTAATGGGTATCAATTTCTAATAATATATTACAATTTATATGATTTCTTCCATTGTTTAAACATTATTCTTTTAATTTTTTATTAAATATTTTTAATTTTTTAAAAATAAAAATTAGTTTTATTTCTAATTCTAAATTTTACATTAAATTCAATTATTTAAAAATATAAAATTATAATTTTTTAAAATTTATAAAAATATTTTTATTTTTATATTACATGATTTCTTTCATAAATTTTATTTAAAAATAATAAATTTGGTGTTAAAAAATAAAATATTAAAATTATTTTGATTATTGAAAGTTAAATATCATTTAAATATTTTTATTTCTTTATTTTTATATCACTAATAATATTATGAGATAAATAAATGTTATTGTAGTTACCAAACCCAATGGAGAATTTGGTACAGTGGTTTAGACACCTTAATTCCATCCTTGAAAAACCAAGTTTAAAGCCACCTTAAATTTAAGTTCAACCTCAAATTAGGTGGTGACACTAAAGACATGTGTCATGACCATGTATTGTCACATATCACCTCTAGATTGAAGGGTTAATTTATAAAATTAAATTTAAATTAGGATTAAGTTAATAGAATATACAAGTACTGAGAATCAAATGTGTAGTTATACAAATTTATGTTGATTGCCACACCACCCTATATTAAATTTTAACGACAAGTGACTTAAATAATACAATATAAATAATTGGATAGTCATTCAAATAATTTTAAAGACATGTGTCATGATCATGTATCGGCATGTATCACCTCTAGATTGAAGGGTTAATTTATAAAATTAAATTTAAATTAGGAATAAATTAATAGAATATACAAGTATTGAGAATCAAATGTGTAATTATACAAATTTATGTTGATTGCCACACCACCCTATGTTAAATTTTAATGATAAGTGACTTAAATAATACACCAAGTTTAAAGCCACCTTAAATTTAAGTTCAACCTCAAATTAGGTGGTGGCACTAAAGACATGTGTCATGACCATGTATTGTCACGTATCACCTCTAGATTTAAGGGTTAATTTATAAAATTAAATTTAAATTAGGATTAAATTAATAGAATATACAAGTATTGAGAATCAAATGTGTAATTATACAAATTTATGTTGATTGCCACACCACCCTATGTTAAATTTTAACGACTAGTGACTTAAATAATACAATATAAATAATTGGATGGTCATTCAAATAATTTTAAAGACATGTGCCATGACCATGTATTGGCACGTATCACCTCTAGGTTGAAGGGTTAATTTATAAAATTAAATTTAAATTAGGACTAAATTAATAGAATATACAAGTATTGAGAATCAAATGTGTAATTATACAAATTTATATTGATTGCCACACCACTCTATGTTAAATTTTAATGATTAGTGACCTAAATAATACAATATAAATAATTGGATGGTCATTCAAATAATTTACCCTTACTTTTTTGAATATATGACATGCTTAAAAAATATGTCAAAATTTAGAGCAGAAAATTATTCGAAATTGTATATAACATTGGGCCACGTTTGCAGGAGTCATGGCTTGAGGAAGATAAGGTTAGTATCTGAGCTTAGCAAATCCAAATATCAGCTGCCAACACATCCATATCCAAAACCATTGAGATATATGTGATACTCAAGCACAGATAGCTGAAATTTGTTCACAAAAAATGGCAGCCAAAGTGTCTATCTCTTCCTCTCTTACTACTCAGATTCCTCTCTTACCCAAGTGTTCATCATCCCCATCAGCTTTCCCTTGTGCTCTCACTTCCAATACCACCAGGCTCCATCGATTCAAAATTCATGCAAACTCAGGTAATTTACATTTTCCTTTGAATCTTCTTTTGTTTGGATGATTTGTATGTTGAACAGTTTTTAGAGTTTGGGTTTCTTTTAACTGCAATAATGAAGAAAGTGGTTTGATTTGTTAGGGGAAGGAGAAGGAGAACTCAAGCCAAAAGGAAAGAAGAAATTTATCACAAGAGAAGAAGAACCAGAGCAGTGAGTAGTGTTCTTCACCCATTTTATGAACTTAGTTTAACATGATTTGACAATTCAAGTTCCAAGTGATTCAATAACCGAGGTGTTTTAAAATGAGTGCAGGTACTGGCAAACTGCAGGAGAAAGGGAAGGAGAGAATCCCATGAAGACTCCTCTTCCTTACATTATCATATTTGGAATGTCAACACCCTTTGTAATCTTAGCCATTGCCTTTGCTAATGGCTGGATTAAGGTACCTGTTCGGTGATCTTCAGGCGCGGATTTTCGACGTTCTTTAATTCAGCCTTGTAAGCACTTGTTCATGTTACCATACTCTTCTTCCGAGTATTTATGTTGTAAATTTCTCATTCTAAAGAGCTGCAAAACCAAATCTTTTCCGAGGAAAAAGGTTTTGTTATCAGTTTGTGGCAAATTACCGAACTTTTTCCAAGGCTAGATCTTTTCTTTTTCATTATGTCAACAATATCAAACAGAGATGATAAGCAGTACTGAAGTTTCATAAAAGATACATATGGTTCATTTACCTATGCACAGATTTGTATAGCACTACAGTTACATATTTTTTTAAGAAATCTTGTGTTGAGCGAAGTGCTGAAGACTGACCATCATCACCGTCTTGCTTGTAAAGATGGTTCATCAAGGTATGAGAAGGCCTTTGTGAGGACTTTGGCTTCCTACTAACAAATGATCGTTCATCTGATATCTTTGTCGGTAGCTGTGGAGGCAGTTCAGGGGGAGGCTTGTTGAAATATTTGTCGTTTAGTGGTTGACTGTCGTAGCTTGATATCGGGGAAGGAGGAGGTTCAAACTTTGAGAGGCTTTCGGGAGCTTCTGGAACAAACTCCTGTTATAACACATTAAGAGACTCTCATTTTTAATGTTGGTACTCGAACAATGAATAAAGTACTGCATCATTAGGTCCCTTAGAGTTAGGGGGCAGGGGCATATCTCAGCTCATCAACAACAAAGTGGTAGTGGTAAACACCACATGGAAGAACCATCATGATCATGAAATCTTCATCCAAAGAGTGCAAGGGTTCTCTAAAAGGAGAATAATTGAAGGTTACTGCAATTTAGATTTAAAGAAAACTGCTCAAACAAAAGAATGAAACTTTAAACATAGACAGCACAACGGAGACTCCGGTACATGGTCTTCCAGTCGTTCCACGATCGGGTAATAGCTACTTGCTTGTCACCAAAACACCATGTTACCATCACAGCTCTCTTCTCCTCTTGGGTTGAAATCCTTGTAGTCGGTTGATTTTCGTGCGGGTGGAACATTTCTGATTTGCATCATTTGACCGGGTCTGGGAAAGGAAGCCTCAGAGATCTGGAGAAAAGTGAAACACGATTGGATTTTCCATTGCATGTATCTCCATGTGTGTCTCCTTAGATATACAAGCCCCTTTTTTTTCTCAAATGTTGGACTGATATTCAAGCAATTTCAATATTTGATATCCAGTGTCCAAAATAGTTCACAATATGCAGAAGCCTGTTTCCTTCAGAACATCATTTTGACAATGAAACATGTACAATCAACATTCTCTATACTTCATTTACAACTGCAACTCTTCAAAGATCAAAATAGTTCACAAGGACATTCAAGCTTATTCCATTGAAGCAAATGAGAATGTAGAAATGCAGACCATAGAATAGGCTGTAAATATAAGATCCCTACAACTATAGCAGAGTAGTAATAACAATGCTGAATTACTTTACCTAGTACTATATTGAATGGATTGTAGGCTGGTAAGAAAATCAAATTACTAACATTCATTTATTTGGATTACGTGTTCAGAAAATGAAGAGTAAAGTGTTGCATATGACTTGGTTTGAGTCTGTTTACAAAAGCAGCACAAATTTTCAAGGAGCTTTTTGGAGCAAAGTTGAAAAGGCTGTGATTCTTTGTACAAAAAAACTTTATAATACCTGTAGGCTGTAAATTCAAAGGTCTGCCTGAATCGTTGTACTCCCATGGCAAGTTATTTTCGCTATGGAGATCCTCATCGCGCATAGTGTTTTGCAGTAGTTCATCATTTCCAGCTTGGATCATTTCAGCGGATCTTAGCCAGGGAAACATAGGGATCTAAATGTACAAATTCAAATCAGATGTTATTTGATTTCTCAGTTATGCATACATTCCATATTATGAACAAAACTCTACACCCTATGAACAAAGTACTTCAGCAAAAAACTGTGATACAGAACATGTAAAATAATTTGTGAAATGAAACACAATGTGAGGAAATGATGAGCAAAGGTGAATATTTTAAGAATTACGCAACAAAAACCCGGGGGGGGGGGACTAATTGCAACATGATAAGCAGACTATAAACACAAAATTAACTCTACTTGAACAAAGTATATCATATATGTAAAAGCCATTAAAATCAAGTCCATCTCGCCAGGTTATTCCACCCTTCAACCTCACCAACGACTAACCTGTGGAGGGTGTTGCGGAAGACGGCTATCGGATAGAGCAAAATCGCAACTGATAATTTGAGAAAAAAAAAATGAAGATAAAAAGAGACACAAAATTTACGTGGAAAACCCCTAAATAATATAGGGTAAAAACCACGGGCAACGGTAGAAGAATTTCACTATGAGAAAATAGGAATTACAACCTCTCTCGATCTACCAAGGAGAAAACAATGATAATTCTCTCTTGATAAAAAGGAGAAAACAACTCTCAAGAAACTCTCTAAATTCTCTCTAGTATTGGAAGAAAGCTAGAATGCTTTGGGATGGTTTTGAAGCTAAATGAGCTAGGGTATTTATAGTTGAAGCTTTAAGGACTAATTTGTAAAAACCCTAAATTACAATGACTAATTGCATAGTTTTACCATCCAAAATGTTCAACAATTTGGTGGCCAAATTTGACCAATTTTGCCACCCCATTAATGCCATCAAATTGCCACCCATAATGTTGACAATTGATGCAATTTGGTGTGCCAATTTTCAACAAACTCCCACTTGAAGATTTGATTGGAACAATCATATCTTCACACCATTCTTTCTACCTTGTACCTTTCATGTTGCTTACGTTTCCGACAGGCCACAGGAGGATCGACACCAGGTAAATTTATCAGCATTGATTGCCTTCGTCATGAAATCTGCTATGTTGTCTTTGGTATGGATCTTCTGTATATCTACCATTCCTTCTTCCACCTTTTCACAAATGAAATGGTACTGAACTCGTATGTGCTTAGTCCTTGAATGAAATGTTGGATTCCTTGCTAGATGCAAGGCGGTTTGACTGTCACAAAACAGATAGACATACTCTTGATTGTGCCCAAGCTCCTCCAATAGCATCTTCAACCAAATTGCTTATTTACTGGCTTATGTAGCTGCTACATATTATGCCTCTGTTGTGGATGTAGCCACAACTGACTGCAATTTTGAAACCCAGCTTACAGCTCCACCAGCAACTTTGAACACATATCCTGTAGTAGATTTGCTTTTATCCAAATCCCCTGCATAGTCAAAATCTACATACCCATTGATTAGTAAGTTTGACCCTCCGTAACATAATGCAATATTTGAGGTCCCTTTGATGTATCTTAGGATCCTCTTTACTATATTCCAATGCTCTTTGCCTGGATTCGCCATGTACCGACTAACCACTCCCACTGCTTGTGCAATGTCTGGTCTTGTGCATATCATAGCGAACATTAAACTTCCCACTGCTGATGCATACGGTACTCGAGACATCTCCATCCTCTCTTCTTCACTGCTAGGACTCATACTGGAGGATAATTTGAAGTTAATAGGAAGAGGGGTAGAAATTGGCTTACAATCTTGCATGCTAAATCGTGACAAGATTTTCTTCAAGTAATTCTTTTGTGAAAGCCAAATCTTCCTATTACTTCTGTCTCGGTGAATTTGCATCCCTAGAATCTTGTTTGCTGATCCCAAGTCCTTCATTTCAAATTCCCTAGCCAGTTGTGCCTTCAATTCTTCAATATGATTTTTGTTGGGTCCTGCAATTAACATGTCATCCACATACAACAGCAATATAACAAAATCGTTATCACCAGACCTCTTGAAATAAGCACAAGGGTCTGCATTAAGTATGTTGTATCCAAGGCACATAATGAAGGAATCAAATCTCTTATACCAACACCTCGGCGCCTGCTTTAGACCGTACAGAGATTTGTTCAACCTGCAAACCAAGTTCTTCTTTTCTTTTTCTTCAAAACCTTCAGGCTGGAGCATATAAATTTCTTCTTCAAGATTTCCATGAAGAAAAGTTGTTTTAACATCTAGCTGCTCTAGATGTAAGTCTAATGTAGCACACATTGCCAAAACTACTCGAACTGTTGTTAGTCGAACCACAGGATAAAATATTTCATTGAAATCAATACCTTCTTTTTGAGCATATCCTTTGACCACCAGTCTTGCACGATATCTCTCCACTTGATCGTCACCATTTCGCTTGATTTTGAAAACCCATTTGTTACCAATTAGCTTCCTTCCTTGTGGTAGTGGCACAAGGTCCCATGTATTATTTTTATGAAGGGCTTCGATTTCTTCTTGCATCGCCATCATCCACAGTGAAACATCTGAGCTGTGTATTGCCTCCTGGTATGCTGATGGCTCACCGTCCTCTGTTAAAAGGCAGTATGCAATATTACCTTCTATAACATAATCTGAGTGCCAATTGGGACATCTTCTCACACGATCTGATTGACGAGTTATTGGAGCTTCAGAACTCCCTGGTTCTTGTTCATCATGTGCTGGTTCTGCTTCAGAAGAATCTCCTTGTTCAACCTCATTTTCCACATGTATCTGTGTAGTCTCTGACTTTTCAGCGCTATCATAATCTTCTTTTCTTTGTAACTTATCTTCTACAAAGATAACATCCCTACTAATGATCACTTTGCGGGCAGTAGGATCCCACAAGCGATACCCCTTTACTCCATCAGCATACCCCCCAAGAATTTGCATTTCCTGGATTTTGGATCCCGCTTTGAAATTTCTTGGGCGTTGTACATCACGTACACAATACTTCCAAATACATGGAGGTTTGAATAATCAACTGGTTTAGCAGTCCACATCTCCATTGGTGTCTTCAGCTCTATTGCAGTTGATGGAGCTCGATTCACCAAATAACAGGCGGTATTGACTGCTTCTGCCCATAATGATTTTTCTAGGCATGCATCCCTCAACATTGCTCTTGTTCTTTCTAACAAGGTTCTGTTCATCCGCTCTGCCACTCCATTTTGTTGAGGAGTGTTCGCCACTGTGAACTGTCTTTTGATGCCTTCTTTCCTACAAAAGTCATCAAATTCTTCACTTGTGTATTCTCCTCCATTATCTGTTCTGAAACACTTGATTTTATTTCCAGAATCAAGTTCCACCCGTGCTTTGAAGTTTTTGAAAGTTGAAAACACATCGGACTTCTTCTTAATAGGGTACACCCAACATCTCCTGGAGTAGTCATCAATAAATGAGACAAAATATTTTGCTCCGCCTAGGGATGTAACTGGTGCTTGCCATACGTCAGAGTGAACCAATTCTAGAACACTTTTGCCTCTAGAATTTGATGTGTTGAATTTCAACCGGTGCTGCTTACTTGTTATGCAATGCTCACATAAAGTAAGTGATACCTTTGTTAAGCCTGGAAGTAGCTTTTTGCTCCATAAGGACTTTCATTCCTTGTTCTGACATTTGTCCAAGTTTCTTATGCCATAGTATTGCAGAATATGAACTACATGAGGCAACAGATGCTTCTGCTTCTAGCAATGTCTCTCCCTTCAGCATGTACAAGTTTGCAGCTATCTTTTCACCTTTCAGCACCACAAGCGCTCCACGAAACACCTTCATGATTCCTTTCCGTGTTTCAATCTTGCTAGCATTATTATCCAACAATCCGTAGGATAATAAATTTTTCTTCGGACCTTTCACGTGCCGCACATCTCGAACAACTTTAATTGTTCCATCATA